ACACATGAGCTGTTCTTCTTAATGAAGTGAGTGAGAGTTGAAATATTTGTTGCCTTGATACAAACCCTTGAATAAATCTGTTAGTGGACCAGTAGAGGGCGGTGTGCGTCAACAGGTTGTTCTGTTACTGTGGGAGTAGTTGTTGTTTTTACAAAGACAGCGCCTGCTGTGTCACAGACAGACTTTCTGACATGTCAGTGTTTCCTGAACATACATTCACTTTATTAGGTACACCTGTACAGTCTAATGCAATCTAATACAACTGTTCTGCCATAAATACAGCCGATATTTGCAATATACACCCTGTATATAACTGTCTGTGTATCCTGTATCCTCTACAATGTTATTGTTATAACCAGACCTACTACAGTGCAAATGCAAAGATGACTGTATGAATATTGACATGTCTGTGTCTTCACAGTGACAGGTGATGAGCAGCCTCTGAAGTGCAGTGACAGCTTTGAACTTCTGCCTCCTCACAGTGAGTCAAACTGAACTGAGACAGAATAAGTTAAATATTATTATGTATAACCTGTAAGTCCTTATAAAAGAAGTAGTGATACCCTCACACATGTTAATTCAGTTTAATTAGCCTTTTCTTATTCAGTGTTTTGTCTTTCAGTGTCTGAGCTGAGGGTTGTTCTGCTGGGGAACAGCTGGTCTGAGAGGAGTTCAGTGGGGAACTTCATCCTGGGAGAGACTGAGTTCAACACTGAGGAAGAACCAGACTGCTGTCAGAGAGTCAGTGGACAGCTGAAGGAGAAAGAAATAGTTCTCATCAACACCCCAGATCTGCTTCATTACAACATCTCTCAACACAAACTGACAGAACATGTGGAGGACTGTGTGGAACTCTCTGCTCCTGGACCTCATGTGTTCCTGCTGGTTCTACAGCCTAAAGACTTGACTGAGGAACACAAACTGAGGCTCTGCAGAGTCCTTCAACTCTTCAGTGATTGATCATTTGATCATTCACTGGTTCTGATATCAACACCCAGAGAGGAGCCACCGGGTTTCATTATGAAATATATGCAACATCCACCGTTAAGAGATCTCTCTCTTAAATTAAATCGAAGGCAACTGGACTTGTATTTGTCTGTGGAAGACGTTTCGCCTCTTATCCAAGCGGCTTCATCAGTTCATCATGTATTGGTCTCTCTAGTCCGCACTAGTCTGACCAAGAAAATGGAGAAGGACCCAGGTATTTAACCTCTTGTGGGTGGGTCCACCAAAGTACCTGTGAAAGTACTGGTTTCACCTGACCATTGTTGTGGTCTCATGTGGACGACCGTCGTTAGGGGTCAGGTGACCCTGTTGTTGTCCCCTGTGAACGACAGTCGTTAGGGTCAGGTGAGCCCCTGGTGGATGACGATCGTTGAGAGTCGTCTGAGGTTATGTTGTTGACCCTCCTGGGTATCGATGAAAGGGCGACATTGTAGATGGGGGATAGATGGTGTCGCAGACCACCTCCCCTGTTTAGCGATGGCCTCTCCACTTTTACATAGATGGCTTCCTTGACTCCCCTTTCAAACCATCTGTCCTCCCTGTCCAAGATTTTGACATTGCTGTCTTCAAAGGAGTGTGCCTTTTCCTTTAGGTGGGAGTAGACAGCTGAGACAGGGCCTGAAGAGTTTGCCCTCCTGTGTTGGGCCATACGTTTGTTTAAAGGTTGTTTAGTTTCCCCAATATATAGGTCATTGCAATCCTCACTGCATTTGACCGCATATATCAGGTTGCTTTTCTGATTGTGTGGTGTTTTGTCTTTGGGGTGTACCAGTTTCTGCCTGAGTGTGTTACTGGGTTTGAAACATACAGGGATTTGATGTTTGTTAAAAATCCTCCGGAGTTTCTCTGAGACCCCAGACACGTATGGAATGACTATATTTCTGCGTTTATCTTGCATTTTCTCAGCATCCTCCATGTTGGTATTCTTTCTGGAGCGTGTTGTTGTTTTGCCAAAGGTCCAACTCGGATAGCCACAAGTTTTCAGAGCTCCCTTTAGATGTTTGTGCTCTTCTGCTTGGGCCCGAGTGGAGGTTGGTATGTTGTCAGCCCTGTGTTGCAAGGTTCTGATAACACCCAGTTTGTGCTCCAGTGGATGATGTGAGTTAAAGAGAAGGTATTGGTCTGTGTGCGTGGGCTTCCTGTATACTCCAATGTGAAGGCTCCTGTCCCCAGCAAGGTGGACATCACAGTCAAGGAAAGGTAGGTGGTTGTCTTTGACATCCTCTCTTGTGAATTTGATGTTCTTGTCCACTGAGTTGATGTGTTGGGTAAAGGCTTGTAGATCTTGTGTTTTAATCTTTACCCATGTGTCATCCACATACCTAAACCAATGGCTTGGTGGAGTTCCCTTGAAGGAGTTGAGGGCCTTTCGCTCTACCATTTCCATGTATAGATTGGCCACAATGGGGGACACAGGTGAGCCCATAGCACAGCCGTGCTTTTGTCTGTAGAAATTGCCGTTAAACTGGAAATATGTGGTTGTGAGGCATAAATCCAGTAACTGGCAAATCTGATCTGGTTTGAGGTTTGTTCTGTCATGTAGTGTGTGATCTTGTTTCAAATGATTCCTCACAGTTTCCACTGCCTCCATGGTTGGAATACAGGTGAATAAGGAGGTCACATCGTATGACACCATGGTTTCATCTTGTGCCATTTTCAAGCCTTTGATTTTATTTACAAAGTCTAACGAGTTCCGGACATGATGTGGTGTGTTCCCAACCAAGGGGGCTAAGATGTTGGCTACAAGCTTAGCGATATTGTAGGTTACTGAATTGATGCTGCTTACGATGGGTCGGAGTGGTGCCCCTTCCTTATGGACCTTGGGGAGTCCATATAGGCATGGGATGGCGTCCTGAGGATAGAGACGGAGGTATTGTGGCCGGTCAAAGGCTCCATCTTGTTGTAGTTTTTGGAGGCATTCAATGACCTTTCTTTTGTAGCCACTGGACGGGTCTCGCTTCAATATTTCATAGGTGTTAGTGTCATTTAAAAGAGTGGCAACCTTGATGAAGCCGCTTGGATAAGAGGCGAAACGTCTTCCACAGACAAATACAAGTCCAGTTGCCTTCGATTTAATTTAAGAGAGAGATTACTATGACCTGGACGAATGAGAACATTCACAAACCGTTAAGAGACATTGTAAATAAATGTAGATCCAGGTTGTTGTGGCACAAGAACCTTGGACATCAACAGCTGTTAACACATCTGGATCGAGTGGTGAAGGAGAACAATGGAGTTCATGTGAGCTGTGATGTTTTTAAAGATGCACCATCAGTCTCATGGAGAGGTCATCAAGGAGAAGGAGTCAGTGTCAAGCTGGATCCTACTAAAGCTCCAGGTAAGTGCAGAAACAATCTTTATATTTCATTAATACGACTCACCAATTATCAGCTTTGAATATTGAGTTAAAGGTGTTTTCAGTTAATTATGTTTTATTGTTATAGGGGCAGGATATTCCATGTCAGGTTTATTGTCTTCAACAATAAACTATATCCCCAACTGTAAGGACACTTCCAAATGATTATCATCAGTTAGAGATCTAGGAGAAAGTTCATTTACTGTGATTAATATTGATTTTATTTTTTAACAGGGATGAAACCTTGGTCTACATCACAGACTCCATCATCAGTCCAAAGCACAAGCCACCAGTGTAAGTGAATTAATAATTATCAGACAAAAGTTTCAGTTTCAACTCCTCACTTTGTCCAATTTTAATCAACTTCCTACAAAATTATAAAACATGATTGAGATATTCACCCAGGTCCCAGTTTAATAGGTAAACCTAGTTAAACTAATTAGATCTAATACAAAATGTACTTTTGTTATTTTGCTTACACTCAATGATATAAATGGTGTAGACAACATTAAAGAAACACCTGTCAGTATATCTTAATATAATTCAAATTACATCTTCCAAAATGAGTATTGCAGGATTGTTGGAATACACTGCATTTGTTTTAGCTAGGTGTTCCTAATAAACTGACATGTGAGTGTCTTTTAGGTCCTAATGTGTAAGACAGTAAAACATGAATAACAATGAATCTGCACCAGTTGCAGTGCAGAGTGTTTATGATGCACATAAGGAAAATACATGTCACCACATATAGCTATGCAAGTTCAGAACCATATTCTTCAGTTCAGTAGAGCATCAGCATCTAGTCTTATAATCACTTTCAGAGATGAGTCCAATGTGAGCAACTCCTGAACTCAACAGACACATACTCTGAAGTTTGGAGAACTTGAGGAGGAAGCCTGAGTCATTGTCCTGGGACAGATCGTTGAGGTAGTTAAAGGTGCAGAGGGGAAACTCTCCCTGAGTGGAGAGAGACTCTGGATGTTGTTGAGCTGTCTTCATTGACATGCCTCTTCAGTGTGATGTGTAGGTCATGGACAGTGGACAGATTCGTTTTCATCAATCTACCTGCAGTTTCCTAGTATCTGAACTCAGGTTCACTCACCTGTTGACACCAACTCCAACTTGTGACATTTCTTCTCTGTTTTCTTTCAGTGTCTGAACTCAGGATTGTTCTGGTGGGAAAAAGTGACGACAAAAAGTCAAAGCTGTGTGACTTTATCCTAAAGAATCTGAGTTCTCTCCAAAAACAACATGAGGTCATCAGTGGAGATCGGAGAGGAAAACCATTAACAGTGGTGAAAGCTCCAGACATGTTCAGTCTGTCTGTGGAAGCAGTGATAGAAGAGGTGAAGAAGTGTGAGACTCTTTGTTCTCCTGGACCAAATGTTCTGCTGCTGTTAGTGAAACCTTCTGATTTCACTGAGGAGAACAGACGAACACTGAAGTTCATCCTGAGTCTGTTTGGTCCAGATGCTTTTAAACACTCAATGGTCGTCATGACAGAGAAGAAGAGTGGAACACGACACACTGTCAACCAGCTGCTTCGAGACTGTGGAGGAAGACTCTACAACATGTTTGAAGATAAACACCAACTGTTGATGGAGAAGATTGAGAACATTGTGTGTGAAAACAAAGAAACCTTCCTCACCTTCTCTGAAGAGCCTGAACACATGAAACCAGCTTTAAACCTGGTTCTGTGTGGGAGGAGAGGAGCAGGGAAGACTTCAGCAGCCGAGGCCATTTTAGGTCAGACAGAGCTTCATTCAGTCTCCAGCTCATCAGAGTGTGTTAAACATCAGGGAGAGGTGAGAGGATGTCAGGTTTCCCTGGTGGAGCTTCCTGCCTTGTATGGAAAACCTCAGGAGGAAGTGATGGAGGAATCACTCAGGTGTATCTCCCTCTGTGATCCTGAGGGCGTCCATGCCTTCATCCTGGTCCTACCTGTGGGTCCCCTCACTGATGAAGACAAGGGAGAGTTAGAGACCATCCAGAACACATTCAGCTCTGGAGTCAATGACTTCACCATGATTCTGTTCACTGTGGAGTCAGATCCTGCAGCTCCAGCTGTTGTTGACTTTATAAGAAAGAACAGAGACATCCAGGAGCTGCTTCAGAGCTGTGGAGGAAGATCTGTTGTCAACATCAAGGACAAGCAGCAGATCTCTGAGGTTTTGGATAGTTTAGAAAAAAAGAGACTCGACAAAGAAAAACCATCCAGCTACACAACTGAGACGTTTGCACTTGCACAAATAGGGAAGATCATAAAACAAGAGAAACACATCATCACACTGCAGACTGAACTTGAGAACTGGAGAACAAAAGGCAAAGTCAATTGTAAGTACTATAAAAAGCACTTTATTAGGTACACCTGTTGCGTGTGTGTGTGTGTGTGTGTGTGTGTGTGTGTGTGTGTGTGTGTGTGTATATGTGTATATGTATCAGTGCAGTTGATGTAATAAGTTTTCTCAGGGTCATTGAATCTATTGGCTCTGTCTGCTGTCTACAGCTACGTCTCCAGCAATTTCTTCAACAGTAGAAAACAATCAAATTTTTGAGAAATTTCAGTCTGACCCATGAGCATCACAGCATGAGACCCCCCCCACCCCCACCCCCACCCCAATGACCTTTAATAGCTGCTGATGATGGGATGTGCTCAGTCTTTTCTCCTCTGGACATTATCGCTGCCTTTGATACTGTCGACCACAACAGTGTCATGTTTTAGAGAAACAGGATGGAGGACCTGAATGCAGAACATGATCAGCAGATGACAGTTCTTAGATTTATTCAAACAATGAAACACAAAGGTTGACTGGATGGTGAGGCTGTCAAAGGTTAGAACTGAAGAACAGAACAAAGCCGTACAAATCAGGTAATCCAATCCAGTCAACGGCAGCAAGGAATATTTAGACCATTAATAATAATAATGAGACACAGGTGCAACACAAAGAAAATAATTTCAAAATAAAACAAGAAATAACAGAAAGTCACACAGGAACAGATCATCTGAAGCACTGGGTAGGAATATCAGGCACAGCTTCAGAATGGTTCTCTTCATGACTGTTGTTATGGCTGTTTCAAACACTGAACATAATAATGGACACAACACCAGAATGAAGTTTACGACTTTAAAGTTTATTGAAAATAGATGGGTGACACTGAAAAGAAAACAGAGACCTTGTACCACAAAGGTGCTGCTGCAACAGGAGGGAGAGAGAGAGAGAGCTGAAACAAAGGGCCGGCCTAAACAGACTCAGCCCACTAGTCAGCACAGGTGTGTGTCAATCAGGTGATCCACCTACAGGATCAACAGGAAACACCAAAATAAAACAGAATCCAACACTATGTAACACTGTCAATCTGGAAGTTCTGTCTCTCCATTAATGGCCACATTATCTTTTCTCTTGCTGTGTAACACTTTCCAAACCCAGTGTATCGTGCAGTCTATGTAGAGTTCAGACTGTCAGCACTTAAAGTAACTTCAGGTCTTCTCATTTCACAGGTGATGATGGGAACCAGAGCCCAGAGTGTCTCAGGATCGTGCTGATAGGAAAGACTGGAAGTGGAAAGAGCTCTTCAGGAAACACCATTCTGGGAAGAGAGGAGTTTAAATCTGCACTGAGTCAAACATCAGTCACCAAGTTTTGTCAGAAAGAACAGGGTGAAGTGGACGGTCGTCCTGTTGTTGTGGTCGACACTCCTGATCTGTTTGACAATAGTTTTTCCCATGAAGAGGTTAATGAGGAGCTGGTGAAGTGTATCAGTCTTCTGGCTCCAGGAGCACATGTCTTCCTGTTGGTGTTACAGATCGGCAGATTCACACCAGAGGAGAAGGAGACACTGAAACTCATCAAGGAAGTCTTTGGGAAGAATTCAGAGTCGTTCACCATCATTCTTTTCACAAGAGGAGATTCACTGGAACACAAGAAGCTGTCGATTGAAGAATACATCAAAAATAAATGCGAAGATTCCTTTAAGATGCTGATCTCTGACTGTGGAGGAAGATACCATGTGTTTAACAACTATGACGAACAAAACCGCAGACAAGTCAGTGAGCTGATAAACAAGATCGACACCATGCTGAAGGAAAATGGAGGCAGCTGCTACATCAACGCGATGCTGCAAGAGGCTGAAGCAGCGATACAGAAGGAAATGAAGAGGATCCTGAAGGAGAAGGAAGAGATGAAGAGAGAGAGGGAGGAACCAGGTAGAAAACATGAGGAAGAAAAGGAAGACATGAAAAGAAGAATGGAAGAAGAGAGAGCAAAAACTGAACAAGAGAGAAAACTGAGAGATGAACAACTTAAAGAAATGCAGGAGAAGATAGAGAAGGAGCGTGAGCAGACACAGAAGGAACAGGAGAAGAGAGAAGAAGAAGACAGGAAGAAGAAACAACAGGAAGAAACTCAACGACAGGAGTGGGAACAAAAAATTAAAGACCTGAAGAGCAAAATAAGATCTGAAGCAGAATCAAAGGAAATCTTTAAAAGAAAGCTGAAGGAGACTAAAGAGGAGATGAAAACACAACAGGACTGGGAGAAGGAACGAAACGAGTGGTGGGAAAAACGAAAACAAGAAGATGAACAGAGACGACGGGAGGAACAAACAAAACTTAGAAAGCTCCAAGAAGAATATGAGCAAGAGAGAGTGAAATCTGAAAACAAGAAAAAAGAAGAGGACAGAATGAGAAGAGAGCAGGAAGAGAAACTTAAAGAGATAGACAGAAAATATAAAACAGAAATAGAGAACATGAAGACGAAACATGAGGAGGGGGCGAGAAAACAAGCTGAAGAATTCAATGACTTCAGAGAGAAAACGGAGGAGGACTTTGCAGCTCTGATAGACAAACACATGAAGGAAGTGATGGATCTGAAGCAACAACATGAGAAACACATGCAGGAGAAACAGGAGGAAAATAAAAACTTAATGGAAAACAAAGAAAAGACTCTGAAACAAGACATGGACGAACTGCAGGACAAACACAAACAAGAGATGACCGACTTGATTCTGCTTCTTCTGACCCGAAAGAAAGAAAACAGGAGCAAAATAAGTTCAATGCAGAAAACACAAAGAAAAGAGATGGAGAACCTTATAAAAGAGCTTTCAATCGAAAACAGGAGACAAGAGAAGGAAGAACTGGACGAATTCAAGAAAAGACACAAAGAAGAAATGAAATCCTTGGACAGAGAACTTCAGAACCAAAGTAAAGAAGAGCAGAGGATGAGAAGGACTTTGCTGTCCATCGAACATGACCAAGAAATCAATGAGTGGAGACTGATAATTATGAACCAACAGCATCAGAAGCAGAAGGAAGAAGTGGACGAACTACAGAAAGAACATGAGCAGAAACTAAATAAATTCAAACAGGAACTCGTGGAAGAAAATAAAAGAAATGAGAAAGAAAAAATGGACGAGCTGCAGAAGAAACACGAAGCAGAGATAAAAGAGTTGAAACCACAAACCACGACCACAGATGAAGACGGTGACGGTGAAGAGCTGGAGGACCTGCAGAAGAAACATGAAAGAGAAATGAATGAACTGAAAGAGAAACTTCTGGCCCCAGAGAAGCAGGGATCCTGTCACATCTCATGAGCAAAACCAGCGAGGGTCCGAGCTGCTGCGTCCAGATCTGGGGAAACAGAAATCACATCACATTACATCAGATGAGCAAAAACAGAATTATTATACAGAGAATCAGTTGCCACTTTGTTGAGAGCAGAGACACAGTCTAGTAGAAGAGCATCCAGGTCATTATAGACGACAAGCCCCCACCACAGGTTTGTGGTGGGGGCTTGGTCTGCTAACTGGTCTGCTAGCAGCACAGCTAGCAGACCAAGAAGCTTTCCCTAAATAAAGGGGAAACAAAGGAGGCTCATGGTCTTCAGAAAGACCCTGGTTGACCACGCACAGTGGGTCAGCAGCGGTGGAGAAACCTCTGCATACACCTGTGTACTCAGGGCTGTGGTTCAGTACAATATGTAGGTATTAGTTAAGTTTTACCAGTTTGTCTGTGTCGTACTAAAACATCCTAGTTTTTTAACTTTGCATTTATCAGAGAACTATAATTATACTCAGGTTAAAGAGCACAGGAGTTCAGAGGAGGGGAGGTTATATACAGACCACAAATGCTCTCTTCTGTTTAAGGACGTTAAGGATCCTGCAGTTCTCATGTTCACCACAGGGTGTCAGTGTCTGTAAATGTCCCCCATGACAGGAGCCTCTGGTGTCAGACTGGTGTGACGGCAGATTTAATAATCACTTACATCAGGATTATTTCGACAGTCTGATGGACAACATGACCCAGAGCTGCCTCAGTGTTGTTGCTTTAATTTCATTAGAGCAACTTGTTGCCAGGTAAAGTTTATACTTTCCATCAATGATTTATACTAATAATTAAAATACTCTTTTCCCTTTTCTGTTGTAAATTTGTCTCAGTAGATTTATGTCTTTGATTATAATAAATATATTCTTTTTTTTGTTTGTTTTTACTGGAAAAGCCATTATAAATTGATTAATTAAATGTTGACTAATTTAAAGTATTAGCAGTAAAGTAGTAATTTAAAGAAGTACATTTTGAAAGAAAATCCAGTCCATTTTAAAATTCACTTAATTTAATTTTGAATTCAGTTGATTTCCTTTTTGTCATTGTGTTGTGTAAAACCTGTTATTTTAAAGCTACTTTACTTTATTTCATCAGGAAGTCACATTGAGATCAACGTCTTATTTACAAGAGAAACGTGAGTTCAGAAAATAAATGACAAAAAGAAATATTAAAAGAAGAAATACAGATTTCAAGTGATTTAAATCCACAGTCAGATACAGAATGTATTCAGACAAACAAGTGGACATGAGTTTATATAAACTGCTTTTAAATATACATTAAGATGCACAACCAGGTAGACAATAAGAAAAGTCAGAAAAGAGAATAAGTAAAACAGTTACAGTCAGTAATTAAAGTCGGTCAGACTTCTAACTAAACTTGTGGCCTGTTGATATCAGCGTGTCGAGTTTCAGTCTGTTCTGTACATTCAGCTCTTATTCCTGTGACCCAGAACAGATCCTGGATGTTTGTGATATTATTATTTTTTAAAGCTGAAGTATCGATCTCTAAAATGTTTTTGTTGTGGGAACAACAGCTGTTATTTTCCACCTCTGGAAAAATAAAATATTTTTAAGCATTTTTACATATTTAACATCATGAGAATGAAATCATGATATCAAAACATCCAGGATACAAATAATATACAGAAAAATTGTATATATATTTTATATATATTCAAAAAAAAAAAAGATTTGAACATTTAAACATTATAAATTAGCCCACAAACTAATATCCAAATCAACAGATTATATTCACATGACATTATAACAGGTTTATTAATGTTGTATAACAGTCAGTGTTTTAATATTTTACTGATGATCTTTAACGGTCTTTGGGGGACAGGGCAGAACCAGTCCTCCTCTCTGTAACATACCTGTTATAAAACCAGTGACAGTGTCACATTGAGCCACTAGGGGACACTGTTGAGTTGAACATCAGCTGATGAACATGAGTGAGTCACTGACTGAAGCTCAGCAGAGGCTCAGAGGCTGTTATTATGGAAACACAGAGAACAGTTACAGCCTCATCT